TGATGGTTCTGATTGTTCTGAGAGTTCTGATGGTTCTGAGAGTTCTGATGGTTCTGATTGTTCTGAGAGTTCTGATGGTTCTGAGAGTTCATATGGTTCTGAGAGTTCTGATGGTTCTGAGAGTTCTCTTGCTTCTGAGAGTTCTGATGGTTTTGATTGTTATGCATGTTGTTTCCGGTGGTTCTAAGATTTCTGATGGTTCTGATTGTTCTGAGAGTTCTGAGAGTTCTGATGGTTGTGATGATTATGAGAGTTCTGATAGTTCGGATGGTTCGGATGGTTCTGAGAGTTATAATGGTTTTGATGTTCTGTGAGTTCTGATGATTCTGAGAGTTCTGATGATTCTGAGAGTTCTGATGGTTCTCTGGGTTCTGAGAGTTCTGATGATTGAGAGAGTTCTGTTTTGAGTTGAGTTTTCCAAGATTCTTGGTTATTGGGTTTTAGGAGTAAGTTGGAAAAATGATAAAAATTATTAATTTTACAAACCCCCCCCCCAAAAAAAAAATAGTTATAAAGCTTAAAGCAAAACAACGTTGAATGAGTAAATAACGGAGATTCCTTATCTTCGGATTAATTGTTGAATCTTTACCAACCAAAAGTCTGATTTAATCTAACTTTATTATGTAAACTTTTTACAGAAAAATTTAAAGAAAATTGTTGTACGGTTCAGGATTATTTTAGAAGCAAGAAGTCCTGGGGTGTAAGCAAGGAATACAGGGTGTGATACGTGAGATAGAGGAAGTAAAAGTCAACTAGTAGCCATTATTTTTGTACCCCCCACGCAACGCGGGAAATTAAAATCAAAAATCCGCGAAACTGGTGTATTATTCCAGTGCTGATTGGATCAGCGGGACACGTATAGTTCTCCCCCCCCCCTCTCTTACTGTTCATACACGCCCCCCCCTCTCTTTCCTTCCAAGGATGTGTCCCACTGAGCCCATTAAGCATGTATGTATGGGAAGGGTCAAACTCAGGGGCGTCAAATTATAAAGAAAAAAGAGTCAGATAATTTCTAAAAAAGCTATAACTGTTGATTTCAATTAAAAACCCCAAAGTTGTCGAATTTTCAAAATTGTACACCCCTGATATGACTAATGGGGGAAGCATTTGTTTCAAACTACTGGGATGGAGTAGGGTATTGAAAGCCCCCCCCCCACACACCTGGATATATGTGGGGGGGAATGAATAGTGCCCCACAGGGTTTAATTCTTAGATATCACGTTTAATATTGATGAGGCCAATCTAACTGATGATCACCTAGCTAATGAATGAGAATAATAGGATTTGGACAAAATCTAAATTATTTGGTTTTAATTGTTTCTTCAAACCCCCCTCTTTACAGACCCCGTCGAAATTGTGCAGTTTGACCCATTGTAAAATGGGCTAGACTCGAGAAGAAAAAGTCGTTTTTTATAATCCACGTTCTTTGTGTTCATTAATATCTATAAAGTTGTAATATATGTTTGTCTTTCTGTCTGTGTCTGTCTGTTTGTTTGTCTGATCATAAATCAGAAACTCCTTTACCGATTTCCCTCAAATTTTGAGTGGGGAACTCAGGAGAACCACGGAGAAGTTATTAGCTTGGTTTTGAAATTCTAAATTGAATGGGTCGACTTTAATTTGGAAAAATAGCTGAAATCTTTTTCTTTAAAACTCTTTAAGTGGGTAGAATTTATTCAACGTCACTGGAGCGACATTGTGACCTTGTAGCTCCTCTAGTTTTTACAAAGAAAATGAGTTTTTGCCACAAACTCTGATTTTCGAAAACCTATATCCTTCGCAACACTATGTTGCAGACCTTTGATATTTCAAACTATGCATTAAGTTAGATCAAATAGTCAAAGTTTGAAATATCAAACGTTTACACCATCATATTCCACAGATACAGGAGTTAGAAAATTTGATTTTGTGGCAAAAACTCACTTCCTTTATTCGGTTTAATGTTCTAAATTTAAAACATGTTTGTTCATCTCAATATCTCTTCAATTAAACTTGTAATTTTTAAATTTTACCGCTGAAAATAAAAACTGTTTAATATTTTTCGGCCAAGGCATTTTTTAAAAATTGTTTTACAAAAAATCTGTAGTTTGTAGAAATTAAATACTATAATTTTAACTGTATTTTAAAAGAATCATTAATAATTTATCTAAAACTTCATACCGACATTTTATTTAGAAAATTGATAATAATTATTCTATTTTTCCTTGGAAATTAATGCAGAAATAAAGTATTTTGTAACGAACAAATCTTTTGGCCGTATTAAAGAAAAAAAAAACACTTTAATTTTGTTAAATCCTATTGTTTTATTAGTCAAACATTTGAAAACCCGCATTGAAAACTTGTTGATGGAAAACTTCGAATGTCTTCTTCCGTTCAGTCATTTTTAAAGAAGCAAAATATAGAAAAAAAATATTTTAATCTTTTAATTTTGTTCAACATTTTTCTTTTTAAATATGATCAATCGTTTTCTAAAGATTTATTTTATCTTAAACATTTAAATATTGTAATTTTATGTTAAGTTACAAGCAGTACACATGTACATAGTTTCAGTCATAAGCAGTACAATACATAGTTTCAGTCACAAGCAGTACAAAATATGCATAGTTTCAGTCACAAGCCGTAAAAAATGTACATAGTTTTAATTACAATTGCAGTACAAATGTACATAGTTTCAGTCACAAGCAGTACAAAATGTACATAGTTTTAGTCACAAGCAGTACAAAATGTACATAGTTTCAGTCACAAGCAGTAAAAAATGTACATAGTTTCAGTCACAAGCAGTACAAAATGTACAAATACAATTTATTTTTTAGTATATAATAAATTAAGTTGCACATTCCTTTGGAGACATTTTAGTAGTTCATAGTTATCCTATAAATCTAAAACAGTTGAATTAGAATTAAAACTGATAATTTACAACAAAAAAATTGCGGACATCTTAAATTTCCATTTTTTTGCATAAAAAGACTAAATCTAGGTTAATAAAATGTCAAACCTTCTCTCCGATGTGCTACAAGTGCATATACTAAGAAATTAAAATAAATTAATAGCCGAAAGCAAATTGTTTAACTGCTAAGAATAATTTTTTTATGAAAAATCTTAGAAACAATTTTTCTGTGATATAAAAATCTAAAATCTAAAATAATGTTAAAGTCATTCTAAGAATGTTTTTCTTTTATTTTGATTTTTTGAATTCTTTTTCTGCTTTATTTTTTTAGATAACTCAAAAAGTATTGGTCTGAGGCTGTTGATATTTTCTGACTTTTCCCAAATACCCATAGCCCTCCCTGAGGTCTAAAACCGAGATTTTATATTTACTGCCTAAGTCACTCACTGCCTGAATGACTACTTTTTCCTGTAACAAACTAAATCTTAGTTTTGACCCACTTTTAGTTGTCAGATTTCGATAATTTTTAGCTTTTTGGAAAGCCTATGCCATAAAGTAACTGATTCTACAAGCTTTGCAAAGAAATGTTTGCTAATTATTTGCATACAACCCGTCAAAGGAAATTTGCACATTTTTAGTTTTTCTTAATTACACATCAGGTTATTTAAAATTTTGCAAACATTTTTCCATATTTAAAATGAGATGCTCAAATATGTATATTTAATCATTTTTAAAAACTTTTTTCCTACCGACGTCTACTCTCACACTCTGCCCAAAATTCCCCAAATAGGAGCTTGTCTATTTTCCTATTGTGATACTAGGTTCGAGGTTCGTCCCCCTCAGCATATGTCACCCCCCCTCTCGCCCCCCATTTACTTGACTTCATCATTATCATGATTGTGGACCATCTTTTATCAAAATTTGTCAATTAAGAAAAAAATACCAACTATTTTCTCTTTTTCGACTTAAAAGAAAAAAATCGTTTTTGATTTATCGTCTGAAAAAAAACCCTGTTCATATGTTATTTCTCATCATTATTACAATACATACATCATTGAAGGTTACACAAAACCTGAAAACCTAAGAAGAAAACAAGAAATATAAAAACTGTTATATCGGACATTGAGGAATGTTGCAGACTATAAGAGGAAACAGGGATGAGTCACTTTCTGGAAAACAAGGACAGAGGGACTTCGAACAGTAAGATTATTAATAATTATGGACAGACAAAATAAATTTTTAAAAATTTCGTTTTCGACTTAAAGAAAGTCAGTCATTCTTAATTTATCCTCTCTAAAAAGCATGTATATATACTTATTACTTCTCATGAGTATTATAAAACATATACCATTTAAGGTTACACAAAACTTGACAACCTAAGAAGAATAACAAAAATATAAAAAGGATTATTTCAGACTATTAGGACTTTTGCAGACTATAAGAGGAAAACTGGAATAAGCCCCTTTCTGGCAAACAAGGACAGAGGGACTTCGAACAGAAAGATTCTTATGAATTATGGACAGGCAAAATATTGTCAACTATAACTGCCAGGAACTATTTACTGCTTTTACTACGATTAAGGGACAATAATAATCTGCAAAAAAAGAATGTGTAAATTTAGGAATTTTTTGTGCAGTCCAGTTATGTCTAGTTGTGTCAAAACAAAATGTAGTAAATTAAAAAATGTTGAGTAGCGTAAGAACCCAGCAAGTTGTGGTATGCAAAAAATTGAAAAAATCATGAAATGTGTAATTTATAAAGAAAAACTGAAAATGTGCAATTTTCCCTTAAAAACTGTGCAAATTTAGTTCCTTTTGTATTTAAAGCTTTCCAAATATCTGTAAAAGTAGTTCCTAAGCTGACTCAGGCAGTAGGTATGAGTGACCAGCTTTCAGCCTGAGTGGAGGGTAAATATTTAAACTGTGATTTTGAAAAATTGTCTATAGAAGGACGAGAAATATTAATGTATTTATTAATTTCCCTTTATCTGGGATTTCCTATGTTATGTTACTATGCAGAATTTAGTGTTTAAAATCAAGATAGAAATTATGTCTTAATTACGAAAAAAAAATCTATTTAATCTGCAGTGCGTCTCTAACAAAAAAGGCAATTATAGTAAATATAACAACTTTATTAAACAGTGAAGGTGGTTTCTTAGAAGATTGCAATTGAAACAGATGTGAATTCTTCAATCACTTTGTACATACAAAACCCCATTGATGGCCAGCTTGTTTATGTACACTAAATGTGACTGTTTCAAAAACCAGCATCAATTCATAAAATTGAAAACTGTAATTAAAAATTCAACAAGCCATTGGACAAATAAATATGTTACACATTCTCAATATTACTTTGACAAGTTCCTAACTTTTCTAATTTAACAGAGGATCTTTACAGACCATGCTTCTTCTGGAGTTCTCTGTCCTCCTTGACAAGTGTGTTGACACCATCAATCATCTTCTGTACCAATTGGACCTCGCTGTAACCAAGCCTGTGCTTGTTGGAGATGTCATAGGTGACACCGGTCTGTCCACCGGACTCTCCTCTAGTACCTGAAAAAGAATAGGTAAGGCAACATTCTTTCACAAACAAACAATATAAATCAGTCAACTGTACCTCTGGGTTGAAGATGGAGCTCTTCACATCTATCCTGAAGGATTTTGACTCCCTCCTTGGTATATCCAGGAAGATCAACGTGCACAGATGCTCTCATTCCTGTTCCAAGGTTGGTGGGGCAGGCATGGATAAACCCGTACTTAGGGTCAAGCATGAAGTCCTTGCCAGACTCCTGTTTGACACTGTCACCAACTGCTTTAATTCCTAAAGGAATAATTAGGATAAAATACATGTACACATTTAAATACAAGCTTAAGAAGAAAGTTACCTCTTGCAAGACGGTCAAACACAGCTCTGACATCACCACCTGACTGCATAGAGATGATTCTAAGCTGATCCTCCTCATTGACCCAGGTAAGGAAGGTTTTGTCTTTGTTGTGGAAAATTCCTCTGCCCTCGGGCCAATCACGCTCCATACCGGCAACCTTCAGATTACGATCTCCAGACACAAAGAGGAAATGATCATCAACAAGTTGTTGTCTGACAGCCTCAGCCATCCCGGTAAGAGGATAGTAGGTTCCAGCAAGATCACCAGACAGATTGGCAAATGCTTTCTTCATCAAGTTTTCAACGCCAACTCTTTGGTCTTTGGTGATTCCGGGGGAAAGTCCAAATCCATCAATGTTTCTTCCAACCCTTATTCTTGTAGAGTGAACAGGGGCGGTGGGGTCAATTGTGCCCTTGATCTTGGTGGCATCCATATCACTTGTGTGGGTTGAATCTGCTGCGATTCCATGGTATTCTTGGATTAGAGGATCAAAGACATCAGCAAAAACCTAAACATGTATTGTTTAATATATTATCTTTTGTCAAGAGTGGGTAGTCTTATCTTTACATTGTGAAAAGAGAATAAACCAAGATGGCAACCATTTTCTAAACTAATTGTGATGTGTTGGAGGTAAAGAGATCGCTTATGCAATTTTGAAATTCCGGAACTTTTGTTTAATTCACATAATAACCCTGTCTTGAAACAATATTAGGAATCTTTGAATTTTGGCCCATAGAAACAGTATACCCGGCTTTCTAAGCTTTCTTAAAAAATCAACTTTCTCTGACATTTCAGCTGCAAATGGAAAGAGTTGCCAAAAATAAAATATCAATTTAGATCAATTACAATTTTTTAACAGGTTTTTTTTAAATAAAACAACATCACACAAATCTTTATACATTAAAAATGATTGTCATCTTTCCTTTTCTTTTTAATAAAATTTCTGAAAAGGTTATTTGCCTGTGTAACTGTTATAACTGATATATCCATGCATAAAACTTCTAGGGAACATTTTAAAAATAAGTAAGTTTTTTTGATTAATTAAGAATAGTGTAAATAAGTTTCACTGTAAAATACAGTAATACCCAAAATAAAGAGGAATTAATTTGTCTTTGTAATTTTATGATTGTTAAATGTTGTAACTATTAAAAATAACCCTAAAAATATTCAGAAATAGCATTTTCAAATTAAAAATCATTATCTACTTAAATATATAAGAAAGACAACTTTTATTCCATATTTTGGTTAGCACTGTACCTTATAGGAGTCCCAGTCTCCGGCATAGATTCCACAATGCTGGTTGTCAAACTCAACAGCGCAGGCGATAGCCTTGGCAAGGGTGAACCCGGAGGTAGCGGTGACAACTCCACTCAGCTTTTCCCAAAGAGGAGCAGTCACATACTTGGCAACAAGAGAGTGCTTGGACTTGATTTCTGGGAAAGGCTCACCCATATTGAAGCTTCACTGTCTGGAAAATATATGCATTCAGTTGTAATAGACTGTAAGCATTATTTCTAGTGATCCTCCATGCAAAGATGATGACAATGCCCAATTTACAACGGTATCCTTGAAAGCTCTGTCTGATTAAGTATGAATTAGATATTAATGTTTTTGTTTCCTAAAAACTGTTCATTTTCTATTGCTGCTTATCTCTGCAAAAGTGACTTGCGTATTTCTTCTTATAAGGAAGCAATAGAGAAACTCATAGATTTAAACACTTTTTGATCAGATTAAGGTTTCAAGGGTACCATTGTAAATCTAATTGCATGGAGGGTCACTTGAAACTATAATGCCAGTCCCTTTATTAGAATTATTCTTAGATTTTTTTGCTTTAATTTATGGAACTTTTGACATATACAAAAGAATTAAAAAGGAAAATACATGATTATCATTAATACAAAGAACCCAAAGAAAAGGATTTAAAATTTGAGATTGTTAATAACGACAATCATAATATTCAGAGAATAAACATTAACTGTCCAAGCACTAACACATTTTAGTCAACTGAACGTTTGGTTATCTAGATTAAAATATCCTGTAAGACAAGTTATATGCAGATTTGTCCTAAAGTGGATAGTGACTAAAGTGCATTTGCATAAGTAGTCAAACCAGTATAGTTATATTTATAATATCTGGCGAAGTTTAATTTAAGCATGTTTTCAACTTGCAATTCTTTTTTAAATAACTTAAGAAATCTTAATTAAGCTAACATTATTTATTATGTTAAAAAATCATGAGCAGCATGATTAATAATTTTGAAATACATTTTTTATCTGATCAATTTTTTTTAGTAAAGGAGTCCAGTAAAAAATTGCCAAGTTACATTCTTCTTTTCAAGAATATCTATAATGTATAACAAAGGATGGATGCAAGGAACTATACCTGCGAAAGTCTAGGAACCGTGTGACTAGAGACTACAGAACAGGAAAGCTTGAGTTAATAAACTTACTTAACTAATCCTCAGGGGTTTGAGGGAAACTACAAAATTTGAAATATGAGGTTTTAATTTAGAAATTTTTAACTTGACAGAAAAAGATATATTTTTCTTTTAAACCTAAGTATTAAAAGAACCAATAACAAAATTTATGTAATGATAGATAACAAGCTGAATATTTATTTATTAACAATAAACGCTAAGATATTTGAAATATCTAAAATTACAGACCATGCTTCTTCTGGAGTTCTCTGTCTTCCTTGACAAGGGTGTTGACACCATCAATCATCTTCTGTACCAACTGGACCTCGCTGTAACCCAACCTATGCTTGTTGGAGATGTCATAGGTGACACCGGTCTGTCCACCGGACTCTCCTCTAGTACCTCTTGGTTGAAGGTGAAGAGTTTCACAACGAGCTTGAAGAACCTTCACACCTTCCTTTGTATATCCTAAACATATTTTAAGATGATATTTTTTTGTTTACATAAGAATGTTATTTTAGGTTGTACCTGGCAAATCAACATGAACTGATGCTCTCATGCCTGTTCCAAGATTGGTTGGACAAGAATGGATAAATCCGTACTTGGCATCAAGCATGAAGTCTTTACCAGACTCCTTCTTGACAGATTCACCAACTGCCTGAATTCCTCGAGCAAGACGATCAAAAACTCCTCGAACATCTCCTCCATTTTGCATAGAGATGATTCTAAGCTGATCTTCTTCATTTACCCAGGTGAGGAAGGTCTTGTCCTTGTTATGGAAAATTCCTCTACCCTCTGGCCAATCTCTCTCCATTCCTGCTACCTTAAAATACAAATAAATAATGAGAGAATATCAAGTTTTAGATTTTGTCTTACCTTAAGATTTGGGTCACCAGACATGAAAAGGAAATGATCATCAACCAGCTGCTGTCTTACTTTTTCATCCATCCCAGTAAGGGGATAGTAAGTTCCAGCAAGATCACCTGACAGATTGGCAAATGCTTTCTTCATCAAGTTTTCAACTCCAACTCTCTGGTCTTTAGTGATTCCGGGAGAAAGTCCAAATCCATCAATGCTTCTTCCAACCCTGATTCTTGTAGAGTGAACAGGGGCGGTGGGGTCAATGTTTCCTTGAATTTTGGAAACATCCATATCACTTGTATGAGTAGCATCAGGGGAAATTCCATGATATTCCTGAATGATTGGATCAAAGACATCAGCAAAGACCTATCAAACAAATGAATTAACAGATATCTAGATGATTGTTCAGTAATGTTCGCTTACCTTATAGGAGTCCCAGTCTCCGGCATAGATTCCACAATGCTGGTTGTCAAACTCAACAGCGCAGGCGATAGCCTTGGCAAGGGTGAACCCAGAGGTAGAGGTTACCAATCCACTAAGCTTTGCCCAAACATCCTTGGTGACATGCTTGGCCACCAGGGAGTGAGTGGATTTGATTTCTGGAAAGGGTTCACCCATGCTATCTGCTCAAGCTCCTGGGAATGAGTGAGGAACTGATGTAAAACTGTCCAAAGGAAGGGTCAGTGCGTTGTGCTGACTTAACAGTTTTTCTCCTTATATCCTTATGTTTTTATATCTAATATACTGATGCATGTGAATTAAGGACAAATTTTCATGATGCAAAAAATTTCATGCATCACCGCTACCTTTGGACAGAAAATGGTCCTTATTCATATAAACATTATGCAATAAAGTAGAGCATTTGCAAACATAACAAAAATTTCGGTGATTTTTCTGATTTATAAATTTTTTAAAGCATTTTAAAAATTATGGAATTCATAATAAATTAAATGATGTTCATGAAAAAATAAGATTCTCCCAAAGCCCAGTTAGAAAACATATTTAAAGCATAAATGACAGTTTCTATGCATTGCTTTAGCTTTAAAGGGACTGTAATCGTAATTTGTAATGACAAGATTGCCATGTCAGATTCACAACAGTACCTTTGAAACCTTTATGTGATCAATAAAGTAAAAGATGTTGACATTTTCCTAGGTTTGAAAGTATTCAATTCTGACAATTAATATTTTTTTTTGCAGCAGAAATGCGCAAGTCTTTTATTTTGAGAAACAGCTACTGAACATATTTGTTAAAGTTAATCCATACTTGATCAAACAAAGCATTAAAGGGTGTCGTTGTAAATCGTACAGAGCCATCTTTGCATAAAGCGCTGCTTGAGATTACCCTTACAGTTCCTTTAAGAGACGACGGTCTAATATTTAAGAGAAGGGGGGCCTGACTAAAAAAAGGGAATGAGGGGGGGGTAAAGTGTCCCAGTCTACATTCATGTAAAGACAGTACAAAGAACACGTAGCTATTTAAGAAAGCAGTCTAGGCAACTTGTTCAGAAATAACCGGGGTTTTACAAATCCGGCTTAAAGTTCTGAAGGTTAAAGTTTGAATTTAAATATTGCACGCTTAACTGAAATTATTAGAAAGGGATTAACGAAAATATAATTATTCATTAAAATCTAATTTATAAAATAAAAGTTAATAATTACAAACATGAGAAGAAACACTTCAATGTCGGAATTTGCAAAAGTTCTAACTATCTTTCTGTTTTATAATTGAAACAACAAAAAGAAAGCTTAAAAATGGCTGAAAGGGATTGCTGGTGCAATTTCAAGTAATCATACATGTTAGGAGGGGCATACTCTTGAAACCTTGATTTGATCAATAATGTGGAACATAATATAGATTTTTTAAGCTTGAAAAGTGATTAATTCTGATAATTGATTCTTTCTTTCCATGAAGTAACAAAAGGTGCATGTCACAAATCTATTACTACTTTATATTAGATCAGACAATGCTTTAAAAGATGCCAATGTGAATTGTAAATACCACTCTATTAATTCCTGGAGAGCCTCTTGAAACTACTTGTACAGTCTCTTTAAAACAGAAAATAGAATAATATTGTGACTTTTATATTTTTAAATTCCTAAATAATATTTAGTAATTAGTCCACGTTCTATATAGGCCTAAAATTCAACAAAAAGCATGGATGAGTTCATAGTTATTGAGGGGGGGGGGACATAGTACATAATTGTCAGTTCTTCTTTCTTGTATCTATGTAAATTCCAGAAGTAAACTATTAGGAATACAGTTTTCTTTCTAGAATACAGTTTTCTTTCTAGAATACACTCTCCTACCAGGAATACAGTTTCTTGCCAGGAATACAGTTCCAATCAGGAATACAGTTTCCTGGCAGAATTACAATCTCCTGCAAGGAATAAAGTTTCCTGTCAGGCAAACAATTCCATGCCAGGAATACAGTTTCCTGAAAGGAATTCAGTTTCCAGTCAGGAATACAGTTTTCTGCCAGAAATACAGTTTCCTGTCAGGAATACAGTTTCCTGTCAGGAATACAGTTTCCTCCAAGGAATACAATTTCCAACCAGGAATACAGTTTCTTACCTGGAATACAGTTTCCTACCAGGAATACAGTTTCCTGCCAGGAATATAGTTTTCTGCCAGGAGAACAGTTTCCTACCAGGAATACAGTTTCCTGCCAGGAATACAGTTTCTTACAAGAATACAGTTTCCTGCCAGGAATACAGTTTCCTACCAGGAATACAATTTCCTACCTTGAATACAGTTTCCTACCAGGAATACAGTTTCCTACCAGTAATACAGTTTCCTACCAGGAATACAGTTTCCAATTAGAAATATAGTTTTCTAAAGTGCTAAGATGTTGTATTTGTAAGATTATTTTCAGATTTACAATCCATTTTGATATCAAAGTAGAATTAGTTTTCCTTTAAGTAATTCTCTGGTCAGACTGACCGTACGATTAGGCGGCACCGAGTGACCTGTTCAAACAGCTGATCTCCTTGCATCTCTACCTGGGTCTGTTAAATGGAGACCATTTAAATTATATTTCTTTAATACCTCTTTTTTGTAATGCCATTTTTCATAAAGATTAATGGATAGTTACCTGATCATCCATAACTTTCCTACATAAGCACATTCACTTGAGATGTCAACGTTTTGATTTTTCTAGATTTTAGCTTTCGTTACGATAGTGTTGATCAAAAGTATAAACGTTTGAAACCTTACGTTGCACATTATCATAGAGGAACGTGAAGAAATGCATTTTCTGCACTTGAATACCGTATACAACGCTAAACTTTAGTATATGTTAGTGAAAAAAGTAAGCTCCGTTACGCTTTTCCATTTCCTGCTTTAAAAACTTTCCCAACTTTACGTTAAAGCTTTTGTAATAAAACCACAATTTTTTAACGTTCCACTTTCTGCAGCATTTTAGCACATTCATTATTTAGTGTACTTTATGCATTATTAATGAACTTTATGCACAGTTATAGTACTTCAGATGCATCTTCAATGTACTTATGCATATTCATTGTACTTTATGCATTTTCAATGAACTTTATGCATATATGATACAGATTGTACTTTATGCAAATGCAATGTACTTTATGCCGTTTCAATGTACTGTATGCATATTCCTTGTACTAATTATGCACATTTATTCTACTTTATGCAATTTTAATGTACTTCATGCATTTTCAATGTACTTAATGTATATTCATTGCACAATTAATGCAATTTTATGGCACATTATGCAAAATCATTGTACTTTATGCATATTTATTGTACTTGATATATATACCATATTTTTTTTTCTGGGTTGTCTTTATATTTTCATGTTGATTGGAACACGCTGTATACGAGACGACATTTTTCTAAGCTAATGATATTTTATTATACTAGAATTATTATGTTTCATGGTTGATTTCAGGAAGGAACTGTAGATACCATGAATAAAACTAAGCTATAAAGATTAAAACCCGTGTTAAAATGTTTACTTGCGTCTGTTCGTGCGTACTAGAGTTCAGCATTTAGCCGCAAATTAACAAATAAGGAATAACAAGATATTTCCATTTAAAACTATATATCTGTATATTATTGTCAAACAAAATGAAATGTCATGTTTCAAGAATTATCTAGTGAACAATTAGTTAAATATTCAGTATTTTATTTCAGGTATAAAAATTGTTTTACCCACGGGGGGACTCGAACCCCCAATCTTCGGTTTAGGAGACCGACGCCTTATCCATTGGGCCACGCGGGCTACTTGACAATTGCAGAAAACGTAAATATTTAAAATATAATTAAAGAAAAATAAATAACACGTGTCACTTTACACCCTTAGATAACATGGCGTGTTGAAGATAATATGCGTAAACAGTCCCTCTAGATAAAATGGCGTGTTGAAGATAATATGCGTAAACAGTCCCTTTAGATACCATGGTGTACTGAAGATAATATGCGTAAACAATCCCTTTAGATACCATGGTGTACTGAAGATAATATGCGTAAACAGTCCCTTTAGATACCATGGTGTACTGAAGATAATATGCGTGAACAGTCCCTTTAGTGTGTTAAAGATAATATGCGTAAAAAGTCCCTTCAGACAATCATGGTGTGTTGAAGATAATATGAGTAAACAGTTCCTTACAAGACACCATGGCGTGCTGAAGATAATATGCGTAAACAGTCTCTTTAGATAGTATGGCGTGTTGAAGAAAATATGCGTGAACAGTCCCTTTAGATAAAATGGCGTGTTGAAGATAATATGCGTAAATAGTCCCTTTAGATACCATGGTGTACTGAAGATAATATGCGTAAACAGTCCCTTTAGCGTGTTAAAGATAATATGCGTAAACAGTCCCTTTAGCGTGTTAAAGATAATATGCGTAAACAGTCCCTTAAGACAACCATGGTGTGTTGAAGATAATATGAGTAAACAGTTCCTTATAAGACACCATGGCGTGCTGAAGATAATATGCGTAAACAGTCTCTTTAGATAGTATGGCGTGTTGAAGATAATATGCGTGAGCAGTCCCTTTAGATAAAATGGCGTGTTGAAGATAATATGCCTAAACAGTCCCTTTAGATAAAATGGTTAATATGCGTAAACAGTCCCTTTAGATAACATGGCGTGTTAAAGATAATATGCGTCCCCACTGGTCAATTATGCGTAGTCTAGTCAATTAGTTTTTACAGGTTGTTATTCATGATGCCTTCTGCCTCCTACCCTCCCTCTTTGCCTGGTCTAAATTTATCAAATTTAGGCAGTTATTAATTATATATCTATGCATGCTGTCTATCTATCTATCTATCAATCTTTCAATCTATCTATCCATCTATCTGTCTATCTATCCATATAACTAACCTATCAGGTAAAAAGATAATTGTTTGTCCTACATTTAGTATAAATTAATACATGACTAGATTCTCGATTAAACTCAAATTTGGAAACTTTAATTAAAAACTTAAATTCTCTAAACACACATTGTCCTGAATATCTGGTGAAAGAAGTTGTTCAAGATGCTGAACACGTAACTTAAAAGAAGTTGTTCAAGATGCTGAACACGTAACTTAAAAGAAGTTGTTCAATATGCTGAACACGTAATTTAAATATAAGTTGTTCAAGATTTTGAACACGTATCATAAAATAAGTTGTTCAAGATGCT